CCCCCCCGGGGGCCCCCCCGGGGGGCCCCCCGGGGGGCCCCTGTTGAGGGAAAGGGGGCATGTAGAGCTTGACGAAAGCAGCGCGGACTGCAGCAGAAGAGGCCTCCCAGTCTGCTTCGAGTGCTGCTGCTGCGTCTTCCAAGTTGTCCTGCAGCTGCTGCAGTCCCTGGCGGTCCAGCAGAAAGGAGGGCCCCTGGGGGGCCCCCAGGCGCTCGAGGGCCCTCCAGCCCAACATGACCAGCAGCGAGACTGCAGCAGCAGCAACGAAGATGCGCAGCAGCCCCACGGAGGAGGCCCTGCTGCTGCTGCTGCTGCTGCTGCTGCCCAGCGGCCGCAGCCGGTACTGCAGCGCAGCACGCGCGCCCCGCGGGGGCCCCACAGGCGACCCTGCTGCTGCAGCAAACTCGCTGCTGCGCAGCGAGTTTGCTGCTGGGGGGCCCCCCAACTCTCCCCACCAATTAAGGGGCCCCGAATCCCAAAAGGAAAAGCCCCCGCGGGCCCCGTATCTGCTGCTGCTGCTGCTGCTGTAGTCCGCGAGCGTGGAGTAGGGCGTCCAGGGGTAGCCGTAGCGTCGGGGGCCCCTGTCCACTCCCTCGACCATCTTGCGCGAAACTTGGTCCAAAATCCCTTTTTAATTGAATTTATTTCCCCTTTTGCTTCCAAATAACATTTAAAATCTCCAAAAACCCCGAAAACTGCGCTAAACCGACGCAGCCAGCACCGCCGCCCGCCCAGCAGCAGCAGCAGCAGCAGCAGCAGCCGTGAGCGCCCGCGCCCCGGCCCAGCAAACGCGCTGAAACTGCCGTGTACGTCCAGCTCAAGTGAAGTTAAAATGCAAAATTTATAAAATGGAATTAAAGAAATAAATCGGGAAAAATAAATCCGGCGGAAATAGCCGCAGCGCCGCGCCGCCAGCACAGAACTCCGAGCCCCGGAGGGGCCCCTGTGGCTCGACTTCACCGCCAAATTCAACTATTCCATTCGCTGAGTCAAATTCACTTTTTAATGCATTAAACAAAACAAATTAACTCTCCAAGATTCTTCCGAAGGGCCCTCGGGGCCCCGCCCCATGCATGCAGATCGCAGCCGCGCGGGCGGGGCTGCTCCTTGCTCGCCGCGCAAACACCACAAAAAACTCGAAAAGCAGCTTCAAATGTACTTTTTAATTCCAAATTATATTTATTTCGCAGATATACAATGAATTTCAACCCCAACTTCCGCCACCAGGCCCCTCCCTTGCTTCCCACCCTCCGCCGCCTGCACGCCTTCGCTTGTGTCTGTACACCCCATAAAACCCATTAAATAGTTCGCATTTGCATTTTCATTTATTTCAATTTGCATTTTGAGACTTTTGTTGTTCTCGAAGTCCCTTAATGGCGCTTCCTTCTGCCAGGCCTCCAGGCTGTTTGCTGAAAGAGCCTCTAAAGTATGGCAGCGAGCCCACGGGCTTTTTGGCCAAGCCAGAGGCCCCCAAGCGAGGCCCAGGCCATCCACTGTAAACCCCAAACCCTAAACCCTAGCCCCCAAACCCTAAACCCTAAACCCTAGCCCCCAAACCCTAAACCCTAGCCCCCAAACCCTGCAACTGAGCTCCCCGGGAGTCCAAAAGGCAGCTTTTCAAAAGCAGAAAAGGCCAGAAAAACAGCAACTGAAAGCTAAGGGGGCCCCAGCTGCTGGGGCCCCTCCTTAGTTAAGGGGGCCCCAGCAGCGGGGGCCCCCTTAACTAAGGCGGGGGCCCTGGGGGCCCCTACCCTTAGTCAAGGGGCCCCAGTGGACCTGGGCGGGAGCTGGGGCCAAAGAAAAGGGAATTAAAAAAGATGAAAAGGAATTAAAAAAGATAAAAAGGAATTAAAAAAGATAAAAAGGAATTAAAAAAGATAAAAAGGAATTAAAAAAGATAAAAAGGAATCAAAAAAGATAAAAAAAGGTTTTATAGTGCTGAAGGCCAAGAGGCCCCGCCAGCTTAAAACCCTGTCTGGGTCTGCAGCTGAAAAAGAGAAAAAAAAAAAGAGCTATTAGGCACCAAACAGCCTAAGCTGCTGCAGCAATTGCTGCAGCAACTGCTGCAGCAACTGCTGCAGCAACTGCTGCAGCAACTGCTGCAGCAGCAGCACTGCTGCAGCAGCGCCGGCTCTTCAGAGGGCCTGCGCTGCTGCTGCAAAGCAGCTGGCCCACAGCCGAGTCCTGCGGGGCCCTAGAGGAACCTTAGGGGGATTTTTAAGGGCCCTTCAAGGGGCCTTTAAGGGCCCTTTAAGGACCCTTTAAGGGCCCTTTAAGGGCCCTTTAAGGGCCCTTTATGGGCCCTTAAGGGGCCCTTAAGGGGCCCTTGGAAGGTCCTTTGGGGACCCTTAGGGAGCCCCCAGTAGGGGGCCCTCAAGGGGCCCTTAGGAGGCCCTTAGGGGGCCCCTTAGGGGGCCCCTTAGGGGGGACCCTTAGGGTTAGGGGGCCCTCAAGGGGCCCTTAGGGGGCCCTTAGGGGGCCCTTAGGGGGCCCCTTAGGGGGCCCCTTAGGGGGCCCCTTAGGGGGCCCCTTAGGGGGCCCCTTAGGGGGCCCCTTAGGGGGCGCCCACCAAGAAGAGCCCGGGGCTGCCCAGTGTGTCCAGAAGTGGCCTTTAGGTAAATGGAATTATTATTTTCAAAAGAGAATATTAGGAAATAAATTCTTTTAAAGACAAAAGTGAAAGAATTAAGAAAGAAAGAATTGTTTTTCTGGACCTCTGGTCCTCCCGACCTCTTCACATTCATAGTTGACATTGACTGTGACACCAGGTGTTGAGCAGCAGCAGCAGCTGCAGCAGCAACAGCTGCAGCAGCAACGGCTGCTGCAGCAGCAGCCAAAGCAGCAGCTGCTGCAGCACCGACTGGGGGAACAGCACTTGCAGCAAAAGCGCTGCAGCAACAGCTGCTGCAAAAGCAAGTGCTGCAGCAAGGGCCACTGAAACAGCTAAAGAAACAGCTGCAGCATGGGCTGCAGCAGCAGCACGTGTTTTCAGCAACTGCAGCAAAGGCAATGACAACAGCTGCAGCAACAGCTGCAGCAACAGCTGCTGTTGCTGCACGAGCTGCAGAAAGAGCCGCAGCAACTGCTGCAGCAGCAGCCGCAGCAAACGGTGGCCTCACATAAGACCCACGAAAGAGCTGGCTGTACCTTCTCTGACTTCCATTAAAACACTTTTGGCTTTTTGTTTGCAAAGCTGCTTCACGAAATCCAAAAGCCTGAGGTGTATGTACACTGGCCGCCCCACACGCGCGGGCGTTGGGGTGTACGTACACTTGAAGGGGCCCTCGCTCGAGGTGTACAGACACCTCAGCTGCGCCGCGCTTTGGCTGGACCCGCACTGGGGTGTACGTACACCTCACGCATGCGCCGGGACGGCCCCACACTTGAGGCAGCTCCGTTTGGGGTGTACGTACACCTCGCAAGAACCCTACTTCCGGAGTCCCGGGCGCAGCTACCCGAGGCCCTGCCTTGGAGTGTACGTACACCTCAGTTGAGGCCGTGCCTCCGGGTGTACGTACACCTCAGTTGAGGCCCCGCCTCCGGGTGTACGTACACCCCTGACTCGGGGTGTACGTACACCTCAAATGAGCCCTGACTCGGGGTGTACGTACACCCCAGCTGAGGCCCCAACGCGGTGTCCGTACACCTCGAAGAGGCCTGACTTGGGGTGTACGTACACCGGGATGAGGCTTCGAGTTGGGGTGTACGTACACCCGAGTTGGGGTGTACGTACACCCGAGTTGGGGTGTACGTACACCCGAGTTGGGGTGTACGTACACCTGAGTTAGCTGCGGGAAAAGGGCAGTTCAATGCCAAAAGCTTTTCGGAATTGGCGCAGCTTCGAGGCGGCCTCGGACTTGAAGAAAGCAGCTTCAGACTCGAGAATGCAGCAGAGGGTTTCGGGGCTTTTCATCAGCTGCCCGAAGCGGCTGCATGCACGCGGCGGACACACGAGGGTTTAGGGTTTAGGGTTTAGGGTTTAGGGTTTGGGCAGCCACGAGCTGTTAGGCCGCAACGCTGTTTCTAAGCACTTAAACTCACAGCTAACCCCCAAACCCAGCCTGCCTCCACCCGCACACCCCAGCCCCAAACCCTAAACCCTAATCCCTAAACCCTAAACCCTAAACCCCAAACCCTAAACCCCAAACCCTAACCCCTAACTCGTAATCCCCCGGGGGCTTGCCTTTGGATGGGCTGCAGGGTTTGGTTGATCTTCAGGGCGAGCTGGCTCTTGACTGCTGCCCAGCTGCTGCTGCTGCTGCTGCTGCTGCTGCTGCTGCTGCTGCTGCTGCTGCAGCAAAACTCTTCGCGGACACAAACTTCCCCCCGGCCCTCCAAAGCCGCCAACAGCGACAGCAAGTTGCTGCCCCCCGGCCGCCGCACGGGGTCGTAGCTCACGCCTGTACGTACACCCCAGCGCCGCATCCCAACTCGCCAAACCCCACAAACAACAACAGTCTTGCTGGCTAGCTGGCTAGCTAGCTGGCTAGCTAGCTGGCCAGCTAGATTGCTAGCTAGCTAGCTGGCTACCTGGCTGCCTGGCTATCTGGCTAGCTGGCTTTGTGGCTAGCTAGCTAACTAGCTGGAAAGCTAGCTAGCTCATTGCTAACCAGCGAGCTAGCCAGCTAGCTAGATAGGTAGCTGGCTAGCTGGTTGCCTAGCTAGCTAATTGCCTGCCTACCAATCTCGCTAGCTGGCCCGTCAGCTGCCTAGCTGTTCGCCCACATATCTGGCTACTAGCTCGCTCCCCAGCTAACCAGATAATTAGCTAGCTAGCTGGCTCTCTGGCTAGCTACCCAGCTAGCTAGCTCGCCAGCGAGCTCGCTCGCCAGCTAGCCAGCTCGCTAGCTCTCTGGCTCGCTCGCTATCTAGCTCGCTCGTTGGCCAGCTACCTCTCCAGCTCACCGGGTAGCTAGCCAGCTACCTGTCCACCCCTCCAGCTAGCCAGCTCGCTAGCTAGCTAGCTAGCTAGCTATCTGTCTACCCCCCCAGCTAGGTAGCTAGGTAGCTAGGTAGCTAGCTAGCTAGCTAGCTGTCTACCCCCCGCTAGGTAGGTAGCTAGGTAGCTAGCTAGCTAGCTGTCTCCCCCCAGCTAGCTAGCTAGCTAGCTAGCTAGCTAGCTAGCTGCGGCGCGCACCTTTGCCCGCGTCCGTGACGGCCTTGGCCACCTTGGCCGCCACTGCTGCGCTGCTGTCCAGCAAATTCACGCGGCCCCCCGCGGCCAAATCGGATTTGCTCATTTTGGCCCGCGGCCTCCGCAGGCAGCCCACGCGGCCCCCCACCCGCGAGCTCACCAGGCACGCAGGCAAATGCACCACCAGGGGCCCCCTGGGGGCCCCCTGGGGGCCCCCCGGGGGCCCGGGGCACCCCGCCAGGGGCCCCCCGGCCACCCAGGGGGGCCCCTTAAGGGGCCCCTCACGGGGAACCAACCACCTCCCACGGGGGGGCCTCGCGAAAAAGGCCCATGCCACTCCCCACCCACGCGGCCCGCGACCCCGCGGGGCCCCTGCGGGGACCCAGGGGGCCCCTGGGGGGCCCCGGGGGGGCCCATAGAGGCCCCAGGGGCCCCCACGGGGGCCCCGGGGGCCCCGGGAGGCCCCTGGGAGGCACTGGGGGGCCCCTGCGGGGCCCCGGGGGGCCCCAAAGGGGCCCCTGGGGCTGCAGCCGCAGAGGCCACCCGCGTGTCTGTCGCAGCAACGGAGGGGGGCCCCCCAGAGCAGCAGGGGCCTCCGAAAACTTGGCATTGAGGCGGCGGGCTACAGCTCTGGCGAACTCAATGTGCTGCTGCTGGTCAGTACCCACTAAGACGTAGTGGGCGGAGTGCAGCAAAATGTCTGCGGCCATCTGCAGCGCAGCAGCAGCAGCAGCAGCAGCAGCAGCAGCAGACTGGGCGCTCCGCTGCGGCGGCAGCAGCAGCACACGGACTCTGTGGCTCAGAGCACACGCGCTGCAGCAGCAGGCCGCAGCAGCAGGCAGCAGCAGCAGCAACACACGCAGAAGCAGCCACGCCAACAGCTGCAGCAGCAACCGCAGCAACAGCAACAGCAACAGCAGCAGCAGCAAACTGCAGCAGCAGGCAAGGCATGGAAAACAGTTAACGCAGAAACGAGGCACTGGTGAGACGGAAGCAAATGAGAAATTGAGAAAGAAACAAGAATATAATATAAATAAATAAATAAATAAATAAATAAATAAATAAATAAATAAATAAATAAATAAATAAATAAATAAATACTTTTACCTGCAGAGGATACAAAACGCTGCCAACAGAGTTCACACCCCCCGGGGCCTCCATTGCTGCTCGTGCTGCGCTGCAGCGGATGACCCAATCTGCAGCAGCAGCAGCAGCAGCAGCAGCAGCAGCGGCAGTTCGCAGAAGCCCGAAGAAGCAGCAGCAGCAGCAGCAGCAAACTGCAGCAGCAGGAGTCCGCAGCAGCGGGAACAGGTAACGGCAGTCGCAGCAGCAGCATTAGCAGCAGCTCGCAGCAGAGCCCGAGCGAGGCAGGGAAGGAAGCAGCAGCAGCAGCAGCAGCAGCAGCAGCAGCAGCAGCAGCAGCAGCAAAAAGAGTCTTTTGATCAGCAAATGGAATAAATAAAAAACGCACTGAGAGGCACGAGGCTCTGCAGCCAAGCCCCCAGCTGCGCGTGCTCCGGGGCCAGGCTCTGCAGCAAGATCAGAGTGCCCCCCCGCTGCTGCTGCTGCTGCTGCTGCTGCTGCTGCTGCTGCTCGGGGGGATGCTGAGAAGGCTGCTGCAGCAGCTGCTGCAGCAGCTGCTGCCCTCCGCGGCTCAGTGGACGGATGCCGCAAGCCAACGCCAGCGCCAGGGCCTCAATTGCGTTGCTGCTGATGCTGCTGCTGCTGCTGCTGCTGCTGCTGCTATGTGGATGGTCGCAGCGGCCGTACAGCGCATGCGTGTCACACAGCAGCAGCCGCGTTTCAGCCCCCTGCTGCTGCTGCTGCTGCAGCGGCAGCAGCGTCGACAGCAGGTGTCCCAGGTGCAGCGAACCCGATGGCTGCAGCAGCAGCAGCAGCAGCAGCAGCAGGCACTGTGGCATGGGCAGCAGCAGCAGCGGCAACAGCAGCAGCAGTTCCAGCGCAAAAAGCTCGAGCAGCAGCACCCAAAACGCCCGCAGCAGCAGCAGCGCCACAATCCGCGACAACAGCAACAGAAACAGCAGCAAAAATGACAGCAGCAGCAGCAGCAGCAGCAGCAGGCTCTACCTGCAGGCCAGCAACTATGCGTTTGCCTGCTAGGGCCCCCGGAGGTAAGTCAGAGAGGTAAACGGGGCCCCCTCGGTCTCCTGGAGCTGCTGCTGCTGTTGCTTCTGCTGCTGCTGCTGCTGCTGACAGCTTGAAGCAGCTGCGTGGCTCGCGCAGCGGTTTAGTGCCGTCAAGCTGCTGCTGCAGTTCACCCAGTTTCTGCTGCTGCTGCTGCTGCTGCTGCTGCTGGTGGAATTGTCGCAGCAGCAAGGGAGGAGCGAAAGCCAGGCCGGGAGATCTTGCTGTGGGCTGCAGGCTTCGTGCGTGGCAAGACAGCGGCAGCAGGCTGTGCTGCTGCTGCTGCTGCTGCTGCTGCTGCACGGCAAAAAGGAGCAGCAGAACAGCCAGGCACAGCAGCAGCCTCCTTCGTGGCTGCTGCTGCTGCAAGCCCCGCAGCGGATCCAGCTGCTGCTTCATTTTGCTGCAGTGTGGCTCGAGGTGGGGAGGCTTCACAGCAGCTCCCGCAGCAAATGCTGCAGCAGCTGCTGCAGCGACTGCTGCAGCAGTTGCTGCCCACGCAGCAGCGCCTGCTGCTGCCTCCGTATACTTTACATGCACATAAATCCTCCAGCTAAAACCTTTCAATAAACAAGTTAAGGAGCAAAGCAGTGAGCAGCAGCAGCAGCAGCAGCTGCTGCTGCTGCTGCTGGGATCGGCAGCGCTCGAGAACAGCGAGGTCCACTCGGCTGCAGCCGCAGCAGCCGCAGCAGCAGCAGCAAGCAAGCAGCAGCAGCAGCAGCGCCCGTCCAAATATTAATTGAAAAATATTATGCATTTATCTTTTGTTCGCAAGCAGCAGCAGCTGAAGGGTGACGGCTCGCGCGCAAGAGCAGCAGCAGCAGCAGCAGCAGCAGAATCTGCTCTTGCAGCGGGGCCCCACAGCAGCAGCAGACGGCGGCAGCAACAGCAGTCTCCATGAGGCTTTTTTGTTGAAACAGGAAAAGAGGGGCCCATCCATGCGGGCTTAAATGACAGCAAACTGCAGCAGCAGGAAGACAAGCCCAGCAGCAGCAGCAGCAACAGCAGCAGCAGCAGCAGCAGCAGCAGTAAGGACGAAGCCTGAATAAGAGCAGCAGCGCTCCAAAAGTCAGCTGCAGCAGCTGCATCTTCCCCTTCTGCTCTGCTGCATCACCAAGACAACAGTCGAGCAGCAGCAGCAGCAGCAGCAGCAGCAGGCTGGGGAGATTGGCAGCAAGCAGCAACTACAGCAGCAAAATCCGCGGGAGGCAGCAGCAGCAAAATACGGAAAGGGCAGCAGCAACAAATCATGAGCTGCCTAAGGCTTCCGGCGGAGCTTCTCCGCGCCTCTGTAGGGAGGCTCAGCCCAGCAGCAGCAGCAGCAGCAGCAGCAGCAGCAACAGCAGCAAAAGCTGCGAGCACTTCTTCTTG